GGCAAGTCCGCCTCACTCCTTCGCACCTTCCTTCCGCCGCCTCGGCGCACCGTGGCCTATCCGCAACCCCCGTAGATTGAGGGAGGGCGGGCGGCTCGGCCAAGGTGCGCCGAGGCGGCGGAAGGAAGGTGCGAAGGAGTGAGGCGGACCTGCGCCGCGCCCTTGACGTGCAGGCCTGCCGCGGCCAGGCGCCGCTCCTGCAGCCTCACCCAGCGGTTGCGGCACCCGGAGTAAGTGCGGCCGGGCAGCAGCTGGGCGATGGCGGCCCAGCACGGCCCGCGCTGCGCCACCGCGTTGTCGATGATCGAGTCCTCCTCCTCGGTCCACATGTCGCCGTGCTTCTCCACCTCGGGGGGGGTAAAGTCCTCGCCGACGTCGGCGCCGCCGCCAGAGCCCTCGGCGGACGCGCCGCCCTCGGAGTCGGCTTCGCCGTCCGACCTGGGGCGCATCAGCGCGGGCGAACCTCGCGGCGTCCCTCCCCGCCGGCGCGACTGCAGCCTCTGCCAGCGGTTGCGCACCGCGTCGGCCGAGCGCTTGTGCGGGAGCGACTTCGCGATCGCGGTCCACTTGTAGCCGCGCTGGAGCACGCCATCGCGGATCATAATGTCCTCCTGGCGCGTCCACGGCGCCTTGACAGACTTGCCCACCAGTCGATCCGCTCCCGCCTTCCTCACGCCGACGCCCGCGGCGGGCGGCGGCAGCGGCAGCGGCGGCGGCGGCGGCGGCGGCGGCGGCGGCGGCGGCGGCGGCGGCGGCGGCGGCAGCGGCGCCCCGCACATGCCGTAGGCGGGGACGGTCACGTAGGTGGCCTTGACGAAGGGGAGGGCGACGACTGGAACCATATGCATCGCAACAGAAGGGGGAGTCAGTCCAGTCAAGCCGACGCCGTATCTCAAGATACCCCTTTCGGAGTTATTGCACACTTAATAGCTGTGAACGTGAACAGAGTGGTACCAGCACCACTGTGGGTCGTTGCGGCACGCATGGGGGCTCCTGTGACTGTCACGAGTGTCGTGTGCTGCACACCACACACCGTCACGTAGCCCGAAGCAGCGGCCACAGAGGAAATATCCCCAGCCAGACAGAGGAAATATCCCCAGCAAACGCCAGTCAGTCCTGACGTTTGTGGGCTCCTTGCAGAAGCCGTTCACACAGACCTCGAGTTCCGACATATTCTTTGGCCGCTTTGGGTAGCGAGGATTGGTGTAACGTGATCCACGGAGGCGTGTTTTCTGACGTCCGGCCGTCAGTGCGCGGAGTTGCCCTTTGAGCAATTAGGAGTGCAGTCATCAACCTCACACCCCCAGGCAGGGCCGGGGAGGCGGGGAGCTTGTAAGACGCGCACCCAGCGGGCCGGATGATCGGTATCGGGTTGCGGGCTAGAGAGCCCTAGCCCTGGGGAGGGGGTTCAGGAAGGGGGCAAGCGTGGCGGCGCGGGACGCGCGGCGGCGGCGGCGAGCAGCCGAGCGCTCCGTGCGCGGTGAGGCGGCCGGGTGAGGGCGCGGCGGGTGACGGGGCAAGGGAGCAGCCCACACCCGGCCGTCGCTTTTGAGCGACGCTGTGGCACGCCTGCGCAGGGGCCGCAGGGCGGTCAGTTGTGGGGCGAGGCGGTGCCGGCCGCGGGCCGGGTGCAAGGCGCCGGCCTCGGCGCCGCCTCGGCGCGCAGCACGGGCGCGGCGAGCCTCTGAGCGGGAGCCGAAGGTTTGCCTGTGGGAGGGAGGTAGGTGGGGTGGTTTGACTTTGCCGCAGAGGCCGTCCCTAGCTGTGAACAGCAAAACGGGCAGCGAGAGCACGCCAGCAGCGCGCCGCCCACTTCCAAGCCAGGCGCCGCAGGATAAAGAGGAGCGCAGATTAATCCGAGACGCGTGCATGGCCGTCGTCGCCACTGCGGGCTGGGCCGCGGCGCTCGCCTACCCTGCGGCCTCCCTGCTCGCGCTCGCCAACGGCGCCAATGACATCTGCAACTCGGTGGGCACAGCCGTGGGGGCCGGCGCGCTGACGATGCGGCAGGCGCTGGTTCTGGGTTGCATCGCCGAGGCCATCGGCGCGGTCACCATCGGCCCGTTCGTCGCGCAGAGCATCGCGAGCGGCCAGATCCACGTCGCCGCCTTTGCCGGCTCGCCTCGCACGTTTGTGCTGCTCATGCTCTCCTCGCTGCTCGGCGCCGGCATCAGCACGCTGCTGGCGACCCTGTACGGCGCGCCGATCAGCGCGACGCACGGCATCGTCTCGGGCATCGTCACCGTCGCCCTCCTCTCTGGCACGCACGGCGCGCTCGACCTCGGCGGGATCGGTGCGTGAGAGATGCGAGCGCGAGAGAGATGCAAGAAGAAGGCAGACCGCGAGCCATGAAGACGCGAGAGAGGAGGGAGAGTGGTGGCTTGTGGAACGCTGCTTAGGGCACACGCAACACGACACTCTGACCGAGACCAACATCACACAGGCTTCACGCTGCTCGGGTGGGCCGCTTCGCCGCTGGCCGGTCTGGCGGCGGGGTTCGCCGTCTCGCTACTCGTGCATCGGCTTGTCCTCGGCACGCGCAGCCCCGCGGCGGCGGCGGCGAAGCGGCAGCCCCTCCTCCTCGCCCTCATCGCCTCCCTCTCCTTTTTGTTTCTCCTCCTCAAGGGGCCAGTCTTTCTGCGCCGCCGCGTGGCGGGCAGGCCGCTGCTCGCTCTCGGCGCGGCACTCGCCGGCGGCGCCGCCGTCGCCGCCGGTCGCTCCACGGTGCAGTGGGCGGAGAAGCGGCTGCGGCGGTGGGCGGCGAGGAGGGTGCGGCGGGGGAGGCTGTACCTTCCGGGCTCCTTGCGACGGGCCGCGTGCACGCGCAGCGGGATGGAGGACGGCTCTGGGGACGACTCTGGCAGCAGGGTGGGGGGCCGCGCTGCGGCGCTTGGCGCGGGGACAGGCACACCGGCCAGCGGCCGAGTGGCACGCCTCGCTCAGCTCGAGACGGTGCAGAAGCGGATCGAGATGGCGGAGGCGGAGGCGGAGGGAAGGTGCAGGGCGGAGAGAAGGGGCGGGGCGGAGGAGGGAAGCGGCGCGGCGGGCGGCATTTCCGGGGGAGCGGGGCAGCACCCGCCAGTGGGGCTGCCTGTGCTGCCTCTGCGTGGCGAGTCGCGCCGCGGGCTGCTGGGCGGGGGCTGCGGCGGGCAGGGCGTGCGGTCTGACTGCGGCGAGGCAGCAGAGTCAACGGGCGGCCCTGCTCTTGCGCCGCTGCCGCACGACGCTGCTCGACGCGACGCGGCGGGCGGCGAGGCGGAGGGCGGGGCGGGCGGGGCGGCGGGGGCGGGCGGGGCGGTTGCGCTGGCGGTGGCTTGCGACAGCCGCACATCGCCACTGGAGGCGGAACCGGAGGCGGGGCATGCCGCCGGCGGTGGTGCGTCGGGGCGCGCCTCGCCCGCCCGCGCGGCGTTGGCGGAGGGGGGCGCAGGGAGGGCGGCGGCGGGGCTGCGGGTGGCGTCGGGCGAGCTGCTCCTGGCGGCTCCTCGACGGTCCACGCCTCCCGGACTGGCTGCTGGACCCTCCTCCCGTAGGTAGCGACGGACGGGCTTCTCCCCTCCTCCTCTCCGGAGCAGTCTTCTCCAGAGGGCGGCGCGCAGGCGGCTGTCGGCCGAGGTGTGTAGGGGCGGCAGCTGTGAACAGCGTCTCTTCACGCCTCTGGCCGCGAGCAGGCGGCACGGCCGAGGGCTGAGTTGGACGAGGTGCAGCGCCGCTTCGTGCCGCTCCTCGTTCTGGCAGGCCTCTGCGAGCACCCGAGAGCACCCGAGAGCACCCGAGAGCACCCGAGAGCACCCGAGAGCACCCGAGAGCACCCGAGATTGCTCCTTGTGTTGGCAGGCCTCACTGTCGCTCTCGCGCACGGGGCGAACGACGTCGGCGTCGCCGTCGCACTTCTCGCCGAGATCACCCGAGATCACCCGAGATTGACCGAGATGACCCGAGAGTAGGCAACGCTGTCGGGCCTCTCGCCGCCATCCTCGCGACGCCGGCGGAGGGCCCGGTGGCGCTCGCGCCCGCGGTGCCGCCCACCGCTATGCTGTGCGGCGCCGGCGCTTTCGTCGTCGGCATCCTGACGCTCGGAGAGCGCACAATCTCGACCGTGGGGTCGAAGATCACGACCCTCACTCCGCACCGCTCCTTCGCCACCCAGACGGGCGCCGCAGTCGCCGTCCTCTCCTCCTCCGCGTGCGGGCTGCCCGTCTCCACCTCGCACTGCCTTGTCGGCGCCGTGGTCGGCGTCAGCCTCGCCGAGAAACTCTGCGGCGTGCCTAACACCGGCCTCGACCTGACCGTGCTGAGCAAGATCGTCGTTGGCTGGGTCGTCACGATCCCGCTCGCCGCGGCGGTCGCCGCCGCCGCATTCGTGCTGCTCAGCTGGCTCACTTGCCCGCACCGGCCGTACAATGAGGGCGGCGAGATTCTTCACAATGCCACCGCGCGGGGTGAGTGATGATTTTCGTTGGCCAGGGACGCGCGCCCGGTCTGAGTCCGCGTTCTTGCGTGAGTTGTGTGTATCTGAGGCTAGTTGCAAAAAACTTGGTGGGAGCCCCATGTATACTGAATTTTTGGTCTCTCAAAATCTAACCATCTAACCCAGGACATATACCCGACACTGATGCACATGAGTACGAACCGACTCCACGACGCAATGCCGGAGAGAGAGCGAGCTGATGAAGTAATGTACGTAGAAAGTAGTGGTGTGTGGGTTAGATGGAAGGCCGCCAAGGCTGCAGCCGCACAGGCAGAGGCAGCTCAGCAGGTGGCGCGGTGTGCCACCATCCACTCAGATTGTACAAAGCGACGGCGCACGATCAGGCGCGCCCCCCGGGCGCGCGTCGATGCACAATGTTACTAGTAAGAGGATTTTCGTGCGGTCCTTCGGCGTCCCGACGACCGCCGCCCCAGGGCCACGCTGAGCTCATACAGCTCAACCACGCTGAGCTCGACCTATCAGGCAATGAACCACCAGCTGGCGTCAGTGAGCCGGGATCAAGTCCAACACGGGGGGGCTGGCATCCGCGCCTCATCTGCAGTGCTCTCTAAGATGCTCTTGCGCTCACCGCTGACTGCACGTGCAAGGAGCAGCAGGCTCGCAGGTCGATAAATGCCGCCCTTGAGTGGCACGGCAACCTCAGCGTAGACCTAGGAGGGGGAATCGTAAGAGGGGGTGTAATATTTGAGAGCACTGTGGATGTGGCTGGGCCTGCTGTTGCCTGTCGTTTGAGCAGATCGACGGGGGTGGCGCCATCAACGCAGTCGAGCAAAGCGTCAAATTTGACGCCGGCATGCCTCCCTGCCACGTTCAGCTCATACTCGAACGGCTCAGTCTCGTGGGCCAGAAGCAGGTGGGTGCGGCCCTTCATGGCAGCCAACACCTCTCCCTCGAGCGTGTCCCTGCGCTCATCCTCGGCTGCCCATGTGCGCGCATCCAGATAGAGCAGCATGTGGCTGCATGCCGAGAGATCGGCGACGGAGGTCGTCACTTCCAAGTCTAGACCGACGTGCTGTAGGAGGCGCGAAAGCTCTTGGGTCAGCGCAAGCGCGCCGGGGTTGTGCGGGCTGGCATAGATGCGGTGCTGCTGCACTTTGAGGGGCTCCCATGTGAAGCTGATGCCGAATTCCCTATACGTCCTCTCTTGCTCGCAAGTCGACCATGACAGCTGCAGCAGCCGCCCCTCCTCGTCGCGCGGGAGGAGTGACAGCTCTGGTGAATCGCTCTCCAACATCGCCTGGACAGCACCTTCGAGTTCGAATGCAGTCAGATGCTTCTCGCCCGCCGGAGCCCGCCGGCTCTGGCCGCCAAAGGATTTGGCACGCCGCGATTTTGAGCCCACCCACGAGATCGATGTCGATCCTTCAGAGACATTAGGACAGCGGATGAGCGGCGCTACACACGCCTGCAAGGTGACATCGAGAAAGACAGGCACGCGAGTCCAAAGAAGCGGCGTGGCTGTCAGCGCGGCTAGGATATCGGCAGCCGAGGGCATCTCAGCGCCCCACCGCCTCACGTCGCGGTCTAGCTGCCACTTTCCAAAGTTGAGGCACGCCGCGTCGACTGCGGCTACGAGGGCCGCCTTGCTCATGTACGCGCTGCGCTCTTCAAACACGGATATGATTCCCTTGTCCAAAGTGACCGCGCGAAGGAGTTCGCGCATGGTGTTGGGGCGAGTCAGGTAGCCGTCGCTCAAAAACACGACAACCTGACTAGATTTCGCAACCTCGTACGCGCCTCGCCCAGTTTGGAGATCGTCCACGTCGAGAAAAATCTGCACAACAACCGGGGCGGTGGGGTTGGACAGGGCCACAAATGGGATTGCATGGCGGGGGAAGGGGCCTTCAGCTCAGGAACCATGTCCAGCAGCCGCTCCTTCATCACCCTGTTCACATAGCCAGAGTGTGAAGAGGTCAAGAGGCACTCGACCTGCACGAGAGCAGCCATGCGCTCCTCACGGCGTCCTGGCCGGTAAGCCAGGTGTGACTCAGAAAGATATGAAATTCGTCGCCGTCGGCGAGGGGTGTCAACTGCACAGTCCTCCCTGTAGACAGATAGCGCAGCTGCTGTTTGGCTGCCCTACGCAGCTTGCGCCTCCGACGAGCTGATACGTAAAGAATGGCGAGCACAACCACGGCTGCGGGGATAAGAATCGAGAACATAATGATTAGGACGAGCGTCGTTATGCCCGGAGAAGGAGGCGGCGAGTAGTTCTGCGGCCGCGTCTTTGTGCCGCCGGAGAAGACGAGATCTTCAATGTCGGTCAACTGCAACGAAGCGATTTCAGCAGAGTAGCTGCCAACGATCGAAAATTCAAGCAGAAAGCTCGAGAGAAGCACCGCCTGCGAAAGGCGGCGCCGCGATCCGGTGCCGCGATTTTCTATCCGGTAGTTCAGCAGGTTCAGAGTGCCGAGGCGATCGCCAGCGGAATCGAAAACCAGAGGACCGCTGATACCCACGACAGATCCATTGGCATGCGCCATTATCGCCGCGAATAGCGAGTCCGCATCATCCGGCGATGCTCCGTTGCGGATCGCGGCGTCGGCAGTCACTGCGAGCTCAATCACCGCATCCACATGTGCTGCCGCGTAAGCTGGAAAGGTTGACGGGTCATCATCGTAGTCGCAGAAAGGGCGGGACTGTGGGCCAATGTCCATGCAGCCTTGACTATTCGATGCCTCACCCCACAGCACCTGATATTGAAGGCTGACGTTCGAATTGTTGCTCATGCCGGATGACTCAATCAGACCCAGCACGCCCTCCGACCCTTTCACAGCCGAAGCATTCACTGAGCGCGAGCCGTCTGGCTCTGGATTGTAGAGGGCTGACTCGGCTGGGTACGCGTTCAGCCAAGCATGTCCCTCCCCAAAGAGTCTCTCCTCATCGTAAGCGGCGGCGAATACCGCGCGCTGGACGTTAGGGTAAACGGCGAGGAGCATGATTCGCGGATCTTTGCAAGTATCTACGAGCCGGTCGAGGAGCATGCTTCCCGTCAGATTCCCAGCGTCGAAAACGGCGTTCGAAAATGTCACCGCTTCGGACTCCCCGCCTAAGCTCTCAAAGCTTGAGGCGAAGGACTGCTTCACTCCACGGCCCCACATATCATCACCATGAAGCAGGCACACGTGTTTCCACTCCATCCGGTCTGCCAGTTGTGCTAAGCCAGCTGCCACATGCTTGTCGTTGCTCGAGAGACGGAGCAGTTTCGAGTATTCGCTCGTATTTGCCAGCATGGGGGCAGTCGATGAAGGCGCAAGCACAGCGGCGTTGAAGCGATTTGCTTCGCGCCAGTCGGCGTCGGTCACAGCGGCCACGTCATTCGAACAGAAAGGACCGATCGTGGCGACCACTCCATTCATCCTGACCTGGATCTCACGGATTGTACTTTGAACTGCATCCTCGTAGCTGCATCCTGCCTTTGTCGCTGTCTCCATAGAGTAGAACATTCGGTGGTTGGGCAAGAGGTCGTCGTAGAAGCCGTCTGTCTTGTTGTTGATCAGATCGATGGCATGCACTATGTGCTGGCACTCCTCAAAGAGGATGGACGAAGTAGGCTGGTCGCAAAAGACTCCGATGCGTAGAGTGTCGTTTGCGAGGTCTGGCGGCTTGGTGTTGTTGACTGCTGGCCTCGTAAGCTCCATCCCGTCGCCGGCAAAAACCGGTTCAAAGCTTTGTCCCCAGGTGCCCAGCTTGACCCACGCTCCGGACGCATTTACATTCATCACGTCGAACAGGATGCCATCCGTGCGGTCGCCGAAAGTCGTTGGCTCGGACGAGAAGGATATGTTGCCCGTTGCTCCCTCGAACTTGACGTTGAGAAGTGCCGCCATCAACGCGTTGCCGTCGATGTGTTTCACGTCTGAATCATCCACCAGCGATTGCACCGCGTTCGCCACAGCATAGACAGCATCGTAAGCTTCCGGGGCGTACACGCTCTCAGGCAGCTCATTGTTGGCACCAAAGCAGCTTGGCGCCCTGCTCTTCCCATCCGGATCGATCGACCAGAGGTGCCGCCCATCGTCGTCAACCGCCGGGTCGCACTCTATGCCGTTGCCGAGCGTGGAGGGCCGTGCACGCTTACGAGAGCTGTACTTGTCGTATGCCACGCTGGGCACGATCGAGTTTGTGATGGCGAGCATTCCGCGGAACGCGTCTTGCGAGGGTGGAGGAAGGGCGGGCTCGTCTCCGTGGTCCCCGCCACCAAGCGATCGCACCGCTTCGAACAGCCCAACGTCGCCGACCCAGGTGTACTTGGAGCCGACGAGTCCAAGGGCGAGGGCTTGCCTCAAAAGGCGAGTTACATCCCCCTCGAGAGCAATCACGACAAAGACAGTCGCACGAGAGTCACGCAAAGTGGCGAGGGGCTCACTGAAGTCGCACTGCTCGCTGAAGTCGCACTGCTCAACTTCGAAGCTCACCGACTTGACGACAGTGATTCCATTGTCAAACGCAGCCGCCTCAAAGGCCGCCATTCCTGCGCTGCAGTAGGAGTCCGTGCACGCAATGGTTGCCACATGCGTGAAGCCGAGGAGCTCTCGAACAGACTCGGCCATCCCGACCGCTGTGAAGGTCTCAGAGGGGACTACCCGCACAAAGTAGGGGTAAGCAGTGCCGCTCAGGTCCGGGCTCGTGGAGGCATGCGAGACCTGCGGCGTGCCCGTCAGCGCCGCCATCCTCGCAATGGGGATCGACGCGCGCGAGCACCACGCACCGATCAACACGTGGCAGCTGGCGCCATCGAACGCGTGGTGAAGCAGCTCGTACGCCGCCTCAAAGCCGAACGTCGGGTCGCAGCGCGAGTCACGATGTGCGAGCAACAATTGCGTGTTGGGAAGTAGGTCGTCCGCCACGCCGTCGCTCTTGTTGTTGATCTCCTCGATGGCCATAATGACAGACGTCAGCTCCTCAGCCCGACCCACATGCATCAAGTCGCCGCTTGGAAGCTGTCGTGGGAAGAGGGCCCCGATTCGAATCACCGCGAAGGGTGGCGCCGGTGGCGACGCCGGCGGATGCTCCGGCTCGCAAAACATCCAGTTCCCGCCGTAGCTGCCAGTGTTGATTCCCGATTTAGGGTCAAGATCAACACACTCCAGTGTCTCGACGACGCACCAGGGTGGGAAGGTTTCATCGCAAGTAAGCGGCTCGCAGCCGCGCTGCGTTTCGTTGCAAGCCACGCCGCCGTCTGGATAGGTCCAACTCGAGGCGCAGGCACACGGCGGCGGCGGCGCCGCTGGCGGCGATGCCGAGGCCCACACCACGAAGAGCATCATCGAGAGTCCTGTTTCGTGCATCTTCGCAGATCGCCCCGAGACAGGACACCGAGGACAAAAGAAAAGCATTGGGTGACCGAGCCAGCGCGCTGTGCGACAGGGATCGGGCTCCTGGCCTCGACGTGCAATCGCGGGAAAAATCTCCTGGCCTCGACGTGCAAGATTCGCGACGCCAGCCTGCGGCGTGTCGGCAGACAGAGACAAGAAATCCTCCTCGGGTACAAACGAACTGGAATTGTTTTTTGACGCGTCCCGCGCTTCGCCCGCCGACGGTGCCGTTATGCTCGTGCCGTGCACGCTTTGCTCGCCGCCCCCCCGCGGCTCTAGGCATCCCAAGCAGTCTTCGCGCTGGCTCTCCTGGCCAGCCAATGACGACAATCGGACCTGCGCGCAGCAAAAGGGGGGGGGTGCGAACGAAGTTTGGCGCTGGAGAGCACGCGCGTTTCTCGTGACTCGTCTAGCGTCCAGAGGTTGTTTTTAGCTGAATAGTGTTGATTAAGGTCAGCGCCCTGCTGAGTCAGTCAGTCGGTGTTACGCACCTCCTAGCATGGAGGACGGGCCCACACGCACACATACGCTGCACACGATTGGCTTGGGAGCCGACACGAGGCGCGCTGTCTAACCGGACGTAGCACTGGGTCAGGACTGCTGGACTCACAGCACATAGCTCACAGGACAGCTCACGAGGTGGCGCTATGTAGTGGAGTTCTCAGGGACTGACGCGGGAAATGAAGGTGGGGCAAAGGGACGGGGACACAGAACTCACGAACTGACATCCCGCCCCGCGCCGGGGGCGGTGGCGCGCGCAGCGCCGGGATGCTTTGGACCCGCAGCCTGGCGTCGCGGCGTCGAAGCAGGAGGGCAGCCACGCGAGGATGCGGCGGAGGCCGGCGAGGTCGAGCCGCCGCGGCGCCGAGGCAAGCGCGAGGTCGGGCGGGAGGAGCGAGAGGAGGAGCGAGTGCAGCAGCGGCTCCGACGCCTGCAGACGCGAGACGCGGCGAAGGGCCGAGTGAGCACCGTCGCTCTCGCGGCTGCAGACGGCCTCCGCGCTGCGACGGCACCTGCTGCGAGAGCTGCACGCCGTGCGCCAGCCAGCACTGCAGCGCCACTCGGTGCACCACCTCAAACGCCTAGGCAGGAGACTTCCGGGAAGGGTCGAGGTACGGCCTCGACGAGGCGATACCGACGCAGCCTCCTGTTGTGCACCTCGCGCCGGCGCTGCCCCTCTTGACGCTCCGCCTGCTTCGCCGCCTTGAGCAGCAGCCGCTGCCTCCGCTCCTCCTCCGCTGAGAGGATCGTCGTCAGACCGGGATCTGCCGCCGCAGGTGCGCCCACGGGTCCACTGGGCCGGTCCTCGGCGTCGAGCATCAAGGTGAGGTTCCCAGTCGGCATCATCAATGTGTGGGCGGCGTCCGGCGCAGGGGCGACGCCATCCGCAACGCCGGCGTCCTCCCACATGTCTTCATCGTCGACCTCGTCCTCTATGTCCTCTCCGTCCTCTCCGTCCGCCTCCTCGCCACCCTCGTATGCACCCGTTTGCTCTCCGGAGAGCAGCCAGGTGGACGCATCCAGGCGTTGCCGCTTGACGCCCGAGTGCCGTGGTGCGCCCGAGCCCGTCCGCCCTGCAGCTGCTGCTGTTCGAGTCGTTCGGTGGGTTCGGGAAGGGGGTCGGCGAGATCCTCCGGAGGGCGGCGAACGTGCTGCAGAACAAGCTGACGCGGGCCCAGTACCTCGATGAGGTGACTTGGACCACCAAGAGCTGGCTGGGGCTGCAGAAGCAGCGCATCTCAGTCGTTCTTCACACGGCCATCGCAGAGCAGATTGTGAATGAGCTTGCCTGCGGCGAGGGCGGTCGAGTGCACGGAGCTAAGTGCCTCGCCGTCCTCGCGGGAGTCGCTTAGGCGGCTCCTGTGGTGTACCTGTGTTAGACTGTTAGTGCCAGTGCGCGCCAGTCCCGTGCCTAGTGTCGTGCGAGGGAGTTTGGTTGTAAAATTCTCTTCTGGAAATTCTTGAGAGAGGCTTGTATTTTAAGAATTCTATCTCCCTTCGCAGTCTCTCGCCGATTCTCGCTGCAACCTTCATGCCACCTCGCGGTCGTCCCACTCTCGTCGTTCTCCCTCCTGTCGCTTCCTCCTCTGTCGCGTCGTTCTCGTCTGCCTCGTCCTGCGACGCCGCCGCCGCCTGCCGCTCCCTTGCTCTCGCGGCTTCTCCCTCCTTTCGTCGCAGCTCTGCTCTCCTCGCGGCATATTTTGGCCCCTCGATCGAGTTTATCGAGCTCTCCTCGCGCAAGAACGACTCTTTCTTCTTACGCCCACTCCGATCATTTGCCGCCCAGTCATATCGTCGCTCAGGTCTAGTGTCGTGCGAGGGACAATCGCTACATTCTTTTCTGCTTTGCTCCGAGTCGGGCGACAGCGGAGATGCGCTTTGCACTCGCCTTATAACATTCGTCACTGCTGTCTTTTGACCGCGCAAGATATAAAGGGTGTCCTAAGGGCTCTGCTCGCAAGGCGCCCGCGTCGCAGACGCGGTACCATTGACAAATCTGCGATATACCCCCACACGAACAAATAGCCAAAATCCGAATACCGTGCACGAATCCGGCGATGTCGGACCCAAGCCTTCAGCTGGTGCCAGCCAAGACATTCGTAAAAGAGCCCTTAGGACACCCTTTATATCTTGCGCGGTACCATTGACAAATCTGCGATATACCCCCACACGAACAAATAGCCAAAATCCGAATACCGTGCACGAATCCGGCGATGTCGGACCCAAGCCTTCTGCTGGTGCCAAGACATTCGTAAAATTGAAGCCAAGAATCCGCCAAATCCGTGCTTTCGCGCTACCTGAGGGGAAAGCCGCTGATCGAGCCCAGCGTGCCCGCGGCCGCCTCCCGCGCAGCACCGCCGCTGCGGAATCGGATCGAGCCCATGGAGGAGGAGGGCGCAGTCGGCCAGCGCAGCAGGCGGAGTCCCTCCCCGCGCCGGAGCCCCCCTGCAGTCGAGGGAGTCCTCGTTGGCGATGAAGGTGGCGACATCGAATCGCGGCCGACACACGTCACGGGAGGAATGGGCGATGAGCGGGAACGATGCGCGCTACGACGCCGACTCCGCCGTGCTCGTGGCCGCAGAAAGCCGCGCTCCAGGAGCACGCCAAGATGCAATGGCTCGCTTGCTTCGATTCAGCTCTCTCGGCAGCAGAAGTGGGGCTGGAGCGGGTGGGGGTGGATGCCGATTGAGGGGGGGCGTCTCCAGCTGCGCCCTGTGGCAGCTGCGCCCTGTGGCAGCTAGTCGAGGGACTTGGTAGTTGTGACCCCCCTGAGTGAGGACAGGAGAGAGAGAGCGTTTTGTGGTGTTGGTGTACGCAATAACGGGACAGGGTGGTTGTTCTCTCTATCTCCCCTTCTAGCTCTTAGCATGAGCTGCGCCCGGTGTCCGACCCCTTTTGCGCAGCAACACCTTAAACTTTTAGGCCCTCCAAATTCGGGTCGGAGCGTAGCGGAGTGGGCCCCGAGTTTGAAAAGGGCGACGGACGCTTGCGTCCTAGCCTCCAACAACGCCTCCCCGGCGCAGAGGGGCCCCCGGAGGGATGCACAACCGCTCCACGCCACGCCGCTTGCGGCGGTCCTCTTCCCAGCTCCGCTGAGGGCCCGTGCGTTATACGAGCCGTTGCGGTTCGCTCTATTGTACTGTAACAGCTCTCGTTCCGTGGCTGGAGGCTGACCTGCCAATCTGGCACGAGCGAATTGACGCGAGCGATGGATAGACAGTCAACGGCACTGTAAACGCCATACAGCTGCGCCGCCATCGCTAGTCGCCGGTCTGAGCCAACTTCCGCTGCTCGTGCACATCACTGCCGTCTCCGCGTTCGGCGGGCACAACGCTGGGCACGGGCCATGTGCAAGCGAGCAACGGGTGGGATAAGGTGGTCCAACCCCGACGAGGAGAACGCCGATGGGACCAGTTGAGGACGGACCAGTTCAGGGCGGGCCCGTCCAGGCTCGTTGAGGGCGCGAGAGAGGCGGGGCCCTCGAAAGGGCTGCCGAGATTAGGCTCAGACTGTTAAGTCTGAACCAGAGTACCACCTTCGTACGTTCCATCTGGGTGCCGCACTTCCCGATCCTGAGCTGTTAGAAGCACTCATAGTGGTTAGGTTTTCATTCTGCATAAACTTGCAGGGCCGGCCACGAGCCAGTCTCGCGTGTGCCGCACAGAACGTGGACTGTGTTCGCTGTGTGCGGAGGAGAGACCGCGCCGCGGCGCTGGCCGCTGCCGGCTCCACCACACAACCCGGACGTCCGGGGGCAGCTGCAGAGGCTCCGGCAACACGCCCGCAGCATTGGCGGCGCGCGTTGGTTGAGTGGTGTTGGGGAGATGGGCCAGCGCTCTAGACATGTTTTCACAGAGATGTTTCATACCTGCGTCCTGCGTAATACTCATCTCACAGACGCATCACCATCAGCTAGGAGGACGGCACGCGAAGAAGCAGTCGAGGTGCGCAGACGGCTCCGCGTACAGGCAGACGAACGCGCCGTGCGGCCAGGCGGACCCGTCCTCGTCGGCGATCTGCTGGCCCGGCGCGAGCCACCAGTGCTCGTCGACGCCGCAGTCGCGGAGAGACGGCAGCGAGGCGGGGTTGCACAGCCCGCGCTCGAGCAGCACCTCGCGCACCCGCGCGCCATGGCTCAGCTCGTCGAGCAGCGAGTTCGGCCCGTCGAAGGCGAGCCCGACCCCCGGGGAGGCGGCGCGGACGCCGCAGACGCGCGAGAGGCCGTCAAAGTAGACAAAGCCGCCGAAGACGACGAAACGCTCCTCGTCTGACTGAGGCACCAGTCCGGTGCCGCGGGCGCCGGCGAGAGGGAAGGCCCACGCGAAGAGCGTCGCCTCTGCAGGCGCGGCGGCAGCCCACGCGCCTTCGCCCGCCGCCACGGGGTGGAGCGGCGTGATGCGGCCGAAAGCGGCGAGGCCGTGCTCCGCCACGCGAGAGAGGGCGGCGCTCTCGAGGCCGACCCGGTACGACGCCTTGCCCGCCTCGTGCGCCAGGCCGATGGCGCCGGGGCGGAGCGGCGAGAGGGTGAGCGAGAGGGGGCCGGGCAGCCTCGGCTCCGCCACCGAGCTCGCACGGAGCGCGCGGCTGCTCGGCGCCGACGGCAGAGAGTGCGCGAGAGTGTGCCTCGCCTGCGCCTCGCGCTGCATCTCCTCGGCCTTGGCGAGGTGGCGACGCGCCTCGGAGAGCACCTTGCGCAGCCCCTCGTCCGCCCCCGCGTGCTCGAGCAGCACCGCGCTCGTCTGGATCTCGGAGTACTCGGCGACAGCAGCCTGTGACCTCGGGTCATCTCGGGTCATCTCGGGTCATCTCGGGTCATCTCGGATCATCTCGGGTCATCTCGGGTCATCTCGGGTCATCTCGGGTCATCTCAGGTCCTCTCGGAGTGCTCGGCGACGGCAACCTCCTCGTCGAGCTTGCGCGTCATGTTTGCGAATCTCGATCTCGGGTGAGATCTCGGGAAATCTCGTCGCGCCTCCTCGTCGAGCTTGCGCGTCATGTTTGCCGCCGAGACGAGCGACTGGTACTCGAGCCGGAGCAGCTCCAGGTTCGGCCCGCCGCCGCTGCCCAGGCCCGAGGCCCGCCGTGTGCTCGCCTCGGCCGCAGCGCGCCGCTGGCGCAACACCTCGGACGCCTGTCGGAAGAAGAGCCATCTCTCTGCTCTCTCTCGGCTCTCTCTCGGCGAGATCCGGGGCGCCTGTCGGAAGTACAGCCACGCCACGCGGGTCAGCGCGCGCCCCTCCACCGTCAGCCCGCCCTCCATCACGCCCGGGTTCGTCTCGCGCCCGCGACGGTTCCACAGATCGTGCGTCGCCTTGGCCTGCCGCGTCGTCTGCTCGGCGGGGGGCGCCTCGAGGCGGCGGGAGTGGAAGTCGATCTCCGCCCTCGCGAGTCGCTGCAGCAGCTCCTCCATCCCCGCGGACCTAGGTAGCCCAGTCATTCCTCAACTCATCCATCAAGACGAATGAGACGCAGCCAGCTCCTCCTCCCCACCGCACCCCTGCTGCAGCTGCTCGTTCTGCCGCTGCGCCTCACGCAGCTCGTCCCTCGCCTGTTCGCAGCTGGAGGCGTGAACAGCGCCTCTTCAGAGCTGCGCCTCACGCGGCTCGCCCCTCGCCAGCTCCACCTCCCCCTCGAACATGCGCACCTCGTGCGTGTGCCTAAAAGAAGAAACGACGGCCGGTAAACAAGACACACCGCCGCGCACCTCTGCGCACCGTGCGTGCGTGTGCCTCCGGCCGAGCAGCTCGTAGTTGGAGAGCTCGTCGAGCATCACCTGGTGCATCGCCCGGTGCATCGTCTACCCCCTGGCGACTCGTGCGGAGATGTGGGGCGCTATGGCGACGGCGAGATCTCCTCGAGTGTGTGTCTCTCCCGGGCGCATCTCGCCTTGGGGGGTCGAGCCGCCCGTCAGCTCGATCTCGCTTCAATCTCGGGTCATATCAGCTCATCTCGGGTGATCTCGCCTGGTTCTGCCGCTCCAGCTCCTCCCGCTGCCCCATCTCGAGCAGCAGCGCCGCCTCGAGCTTCTCCTCCTTCTCCGCCGCCTCCGCCTCCAGCCCCTCGCACCGCGCCCTCCACTCCTGAGCGAGACGCTCCGCCTCCGCCACCTCCGCCCGCCGCCGCTGCTCGAGCGCCTCTGCCCGCTGCTCCGCCTCGGTCGTGAGGGCGGCACGCAGCAGCTCGACCTCCGCCCGATGCTCCGCCTGCAGCCGGCCCAGAGCTCCTCCCTCGGGACTCAATCCAACGGCTCCTTCACCCACTCACTCACTGATGGACCGGCCCCTCGCCTGCAGCCGCTCCAGCCGCGCCACGCCGTCGCAGCGCAGCTCCTCCTCCGCCTTCTCCCGCTCCGCCGTCAGCCGGCGCGCCTCCTCGCGGGACGCCTCCATGGCGGCGAGAGCGCGGTGGGACGCGTCCTGCAGCCTCTTCTCGGTGCTCGCCAGCGCCGCCTCCGACCTCTCCCGCGCCTGTCGGACATGTCTCGGACATGTCGCGGACGTGTCGCGGACATGTCCGCCCGCTCGAGGCCTTCTCCGCGCCTCCCTCTCTCGGCGCGACTCCTCCTTGGACGCCTCCTCCCCCTCGCGCGCCTTGTCTGCTGCAGCCCGCGCCGCCGCCGCCGCCGCCGCCTGCGCCTCCGCCACGGCCTTGGCCGCCGCCATTGCGGAGAAGGCCTCGCCGACTTCCTCCTGCGCCCTCGCCGCCTTCTCGGCGAGGGCGCGCGCCTGTTCCTCCGCCGCCCGCTGCCGCTGCGCCGCCTCGAGCAGCCTCGCCTCCTCCTCCCTCCGCGCCTCCTCCAGCGCCGCCTCGTCGGCAGCGCGTTGCGCCTCGGCTGCGTCCGCCGCGGCCCGCCGCTCCTCGAGCTCCTGCTCCACCGCTTTTCATCAGTTCATCCATCCGTTGAGAGCTAATCCAGAGCTCGAGCTCCTGCTCCATCATCCCAATCAATTCGTTCAGTGAGTGAGTGAGTGATTGAACGGCTTAGTCCTCGAGCTCCTGCTGCATCGCCGCGCGCGTCGCCTCCAGCTCCGCATCCTTTGCCCGCGCCTCCGCCTCCGCCTCCAGCCTCCGCTTCTCCGCGTCGACCGTCGCCGCCTCCGCCGCGGCGAGCATCGCCGCGTGCGCCTCCTCGCGCTCGCGCTCCATCTCGGCGAGCCTCGCATTTTGGGGAGAGGGTGGGAGAGCGGGGATAGAGGGGGAGAGAGGGGAGAGAGGGGGAGCGCTCGCGCTCCATCTCGGCGAGCCTCGCCTTCTGCTCCGCGGACATCGCCTCCGCCTCCCGCTGCCGCGCCCGCTCGTCCGCCTCGCGCCTACTCTCGACGCCCCCCCGCGCCCTCTCGACCTCACCTCGCGCGATCTCGACCTCTTCTCGCCCACATCTCGAGGCCATCTCGACTGTCTCTCGGCTACGTCTCGCGCCGCTCGCGCAGCTCGCGTGCCCTCTCCGCGAACTGCGCCTCGAGGCCCGCCGAGCCGAAGACCATCGTGCGGCCCAGCTGGTAGTCCTCGTCGGCGAACCCCGCCTGCGCGAGATTCCTCGAGATGCGGTCGAGATGTACCGAGACCTGAGCTGGCCCTCCTGTCCGCGAGGCCCGCCTGCGTCAGCAGCTTGCGCACCATCGCCTTTCGCTCCGCCGCCGAGCCGCCCCAGGCGAGGCGCTGCTCCTCGAGGGTGAGTAGGTCGCGAAAGTCGTCGAGCATCGACAAAAAGGTGCGGCGGTACGGGAAGCCCGCCTGCGCGACGCATGCGGGAGATATGGGGAGATGTGGGGAGATGTGGGGAGATGTGGGGAGATGTGGGGAGATGTGGGGAGATGTGGGGAGATGTGGGGAGACATTGGGCGAAAGGAAGTTTGCCTGCGCGACGCATGCGGCGGCGAGCACGCCGCACGACTGCAGCTGCGACCGCACCAGAGCCTCGTCGAAATCGAAGGGCGTGCGGCGGTCGTTTGGCTTGATGCAGCGTATGAAGTGCTGGTCCGTCGCCGCGAGCGTCTCTGTCAGCTCCTTCATCGACGCGGCGAACTGGCGCGCCACCTCGCCGCGGCGAGAGTCGGCGGCGCGCGCGAGGAAGAGGTCGCGAACAAACGGCCAGCGCGAGGCGGCCATCAGCGCGGGCAGCTTCGCGTGCAGCTCGTCCTTGTTCTTCTTGAGGAAGGAGCGCGCCACATCGCCGCCGCCCGCGCCGCCGCCGCCCGCCGCGGTGTACGTGACTTGGGCGGAGAAGTGGCGGACGGTGAACGAGGTCGCCGGCTCCGCCGCTGCCGGCTTGCGGTACGCCGGGTGCTCCGCAAAGCGACGGTGCAGCGCCTCGACCAGCCGCGCGTCGTCGGGAGGCTTCGGCGAGGCGGTCTCCTCGTTGAGGATGGAGAGTAAGCCCGGCCGAGGGTAGCCTCCGCGCCGCTTTGCGCCCTCAAAGAGCTCGAGGACGGCCGAGTTGTCGGGCGAGTCGATCAGCTCGACGCGGATGCCTACGTGCTGAATACGCCAACCTCAGGGCACGAACACGGCATTGTGCAGCGCGTTGAGAGCACCGCGTGAGTACAACGGATAGGAAGACAGTGAATACAGCGGAGGACGTGGCCCTCTCGGGCGCTAGTTGGGAGACAAGAATACGTACTCTACTTCTAGACGCGGACGCCTTCAGACACAAACTCAGCGCGGACCAGCTCGACCGCCTCGGAGACGAAGAGCGCCTGCAGCTTCTCGTTCGCGAAGTTGATCAGCAGCTGCTCGTACCCGTTTCGCTCGAACGTCTCCATACCAAAGATATCGAGCAGGCCGACGAAGCTCGAGGGCGGCGCCGCCCCGCCGCCCGCCGCCCCGCCGCCCGCCGCCCCGCCGCCCGCCGCCCCGCCGACGGCGTCGCCGACGACGGAGGCGAGGGCGAGGTTGGTCGTATCGACGAGCCGCATGAAGAGCAGCTCGTACAGCGCCTGCGCGAGCGCGTCGCGCGCCTCCGCCGCCTGCTCGCAGCTGCTCGCCATCTCGACAACCTCGCTCGCCGTGTGCAGCGACACCTTGACCAGCGCCGTCTCGAGCTCTGCTGGCCCGACCTGCGTGGCAGGTGCGTGGCAGGGTGTGTGGGAGGGAGGTGCGCGGGAGGCAGGTGTGTGAGGTGTGTGGGACGGAGGTGTGTGGGAGGGGGGGGGGGGGGGAGGGAGGTGCGTGGCAAGCGCGTGGGAAGTGCGTTGTGACGGGATGCTTCAGCGTGACAAGCTCTCCCAACCTCGAGCAGCGCCGCCGCGGCCTCGAGCGATGCACGCGAGGCGGGCGCCACGCGCGCCGCCGCCTCCCCCCGCCCGCGGCTCTGCTCGTCCGCGTCCGCAAAGCTGATGTTGCCTGTTCTCATCCCGCCATTCATCAGTCACGCTTCATAATACAGAGATGCTCGACCGCAAAGCTGATGTTGCTGTCGTGCAGCACGGCGGCGACGCAACTCCAGACGGCGTCTGGTCCGTCGAGCGAGGCGTCGGCGGCGGTGGCGATGGAGGCGCTCCGGATGCGGTGGTCGGGGCGAGGGAAGGATCCGCGCTTTCGGGTTCCTTAGCCGCTGGCGTGAGAATGCGGCGGGCGAAGCGGCGGGTGAAGTTACGGGCGAGGGGGTCGGCCGAGGAGTGCGGCGGGCGAGTCGGCTGCTGCGTGGGTGCGAGCGACATCCAGCGAGCCCGCCTCCTCTACGGGCGGAGACCGC